CATGGAGTAGTCCGTAGCGCACCCCAGTATTCAGCTAATCCCCCATAACGGACCTGACCAGCGACAAGAGAATGCGAGCTGACAGTTGGGATGACGACTAGGCGACTTAGTTTTTGTTTAGTGAACGTACATGCTTGCTTCATCTATAAAATCTGCAATTCCAGAGCTGTCGGTTCTGCGATTCGTCGATAAGTCCTGTCTGCGGCGTATGAAGAGGAGGATGCAGGCCCACAATCGTTCAGCTAACATGGCGCCGACACATGGACTTGCTGACACGGCACCGAGCCCGGGACCGAGGCTGTGCCCTCCCGCATGATGCGACGATAACCCAATGGATCAGCGAAAAAGGAATATAACCAGTGCTTGCGTGCAGCACCAGGCAGAGTCAGCGGCGCAAAGGTAAAATGGAGGCGTCAGACGGACCTTGACGGCACGGAGTCGCCATACGGACGTCCGGACGCTGATCTGTGGGTCATCGCTGGGGATGAATGAATACTTCAAGACTTTTCGCGCCGCATTCTGGCTCGTGGTGTTACAATTTTAGAATTGGCATTCGGAAGTTTTGGCGTTACGCTTCTTCTTTACTGCTCGCTACAGCCGATTTGAGGAGCTTATACCAGGTGGTCGTCAGAACCGAACCAACTGCAGTCTGCAGCTTGACGACTATCATATGACCTCGCTTGCTGTTTTGGGCATTTGCACCTGGGGGGCAAGGAAGACTGCCCACTAAGCCTATTTGACCCCGAACGCCTATGCCGATGTGGGGGAAATGATTTCGCCCTTCCGTGACATGCCTATCTTTCTGCGTCGGCAATATCGAATAGGGGATATCCTGTGCAGTGATGGGCTTACAGCCGGTAGTATTCCTGGTGACGTGCTGAAGTCAAAATGATGGCACCATTGTGGTCATACTATTTCCTTTCTGCAGCGGCACAAAAGCATCAGTGGCAGGTGAATCATTACTCCCGAGATTCGGGCTGAGGTCTCGGCAGGTGACACGGCGGGCACACGGGAAAAGTGACAACTACTTGGCAGGACTCCGTCAGGATATAGTTTTGAGAGAATGGAGGCCGGCCCGACTCCATCGGGTAAATTATTTCTCATTGCTCCATCTGCGCATGCGTCTTCCGTATACTCAGTTGCCCGAGATTGGGCCCGGAGCCAAGTTGATGCTTGGCGATGAGCTTGGTAGGACTACCCAGGGCCCCAGAACCAGGGATTCTGGAATGCTGAATGAGGCAGATCCAAGACCAGATTAGGTTGGCCTTTCCGCTCCGAAGCCAACGACTCACAGACTTTTCCATTTTCGGTAGAAGAACAATATATCATGGTTTAGTAGCTGTCGCAAGTTGCAATGTGGTGTTTTGCTTTGTCAGTGTTTATCAGCAGGAAAAGCGTCATTGCCAAGACTTGACAAGATGCTCAGCCCAGATTTACCCATTTGCATGACACAGGGGGTTCAATCTTGATTGGTGGCCAACGTCCCGGTGATGTGACCCTGTATACGATATGCCCCTGGATATGATTCCACGGGGCCCCATAATCAAGTATTGTCTTGCCTGTTATAACAAAGTCAGATCGGAACTCGCTGAAGTCGCTGAACTCGATCGGTAATATGCAGGTACGCTCAGGAACAGAACATGGCACTTCTCTCAATCGGAAGTGCCGTGTTGCACTCAGCCGACGAACCGAGGGCATTCGATGCCACCTAGTCATGCCAATTGACGTCAAAATGAACACCATGCCGCCTCATCGTCACCGTCCTTCCAGGTCACTCTCTGTGTTCTTTGTCACATCAAGCAGTACGACAGAATGAAGACAGAAACCACACTCACGAGACTGTTGCAGGCCTCGATCGTTGCGGCTCATCCTGCCTTTCGAGGCCTCGTCGTCAATCGCCGAGATGACCTGCTCCCGGCTTATGATTACGTCGTCATTGGGGCTGGTGCAAGTGGTCTCACGGTAGCCAATCGTCTCAGTGAGGATGATGGTGAGCAGATAAAAAAGGACTCTGTGTAACAGGAAACCTACTGAAATGCTTCAGAAACCACTGTTCTCGTCATAGAGGCTGGTGAATTGTAAGTCTATTGACCCATCTTTCATAACACAAAGCTGACTGTTTCAAATAGCGACCAGGGAGAAGACATTGTGACAATTCCGGGTCTCGCTGGTGGCGCAGTTGGCACCAAATACGACTGGAACATTTCATATGCGCCAACAGAATATGTAGCGAACAACTCCATTTCGATTCCTCAGGGCAAGATTGTTGGCGGATCGACCAAGCTCAATCGCATGGTCTTTGATCGAGGCTCAGAGTCCGACTACGATCGGTGGGAGGACCTGGGAAACCAAGGATGGGGCTGGGAAGCTCTGTTGCCGTACTTCAAAAAGGTGAGTAGACCGAGTCTGATGCAAGATGCTTATCTTTCACTGTTCGCTAACGTGTTTTGCGATTCCGATGTAAAGAATGAGATATTCACGCCACCAGATGCCCAAATTGCTTCCGAGTTCAACATCACTTATGATGTCTCTGCCCATGGATACGACGGCTATATGAATGTCAGCTGTGAGTATTCTTTTCGAAGCGGCATTGCACTTGCTATATAAATTCCAAAAGCTGTCTAGTTCGAACCCAGTATCTTCAATGAAATAAGGAACTAATCATTTCTTGTTGCCTAGATGCGCCATTCATCTGGCCGACAACTAGTAAGTCCCGAAGCGGGCCTGACTTGATCTTGATTTCGCTAATACTGGACACAGAGATCTTCGCCGATGCTATCGAAGAAATTGGAATTTCCATTTCTCCAGACCAGGCAAACGGCAACGCTATTGGAGGCTTCTATAGTCCACACAACCAGGACCCCGAGACGGCAACCAGATCGTCAGCAAAGGAGGCATATTATGACACGGTAGCAACTCGCAGCAACCTTCACCTGCTCACTGGGCAGCAGGTCACGCGTATCCTGAGCAATGTGACTGGAGACAGTGTATGCGTCGCTGGAGTCGAGGTAAAGAGGTCCACAGGTATTTACCAAAAAATTCTCTGCTTACAAGATTACACAAGTTTGCATCGGGTCGCAACGCTTCAAGCTCGTCCGTCATTGTCCAAAAGGAGGCCATTCTGGCAGCAGGTGCCATCTTTACACCGCAGATCCTCCAAGTCTCGGGCATCGGAGACGCGGCGCATCTGTCCAGCATCGGCGTGAGTACGGTCGTCGACCTGCCAGCTGTTGGCCAGAACTTTCACGATCACATTCTCTTGACGACCGTCAACACGAGTCAGCGAAACCGGAGCCCTTCTATCCAATGCGCCCCAGCTAACATGATATTTTAGTCGTTGCCCCTCTGACCGCCAGCAATCTCACGACCAATGCCACATATGCAGCTGAATCGCGCGAGCTGTACGATACAGAACAAACAGGACCTTATGCCGACTCGACTGGTGACTTCCTCGTCTTTCTGCCGCTCCAGAACTTCACAGAGCAATGGAGCACCATCCAGAGCGAGGCCACCGCGCAAGACCCGTCACTGTATCTGCCCAGTGACACGGCCGCCGAGGTTGGCGTGGGCTACAAGCTTCAGCACGAACTCCTGACCGAGAAACTGGGATCGACCGGATCGGCCGTCCTCGAGCTGATCTGGGCCGACGGCGCCGTGGTCCTTGGACTGGAGCACCCCTACTCTCGAGGCAGCGTCAAGGCCCCGTCCGCCAACATCTTCGACGCGCCCACGGCCGACCCAGCTCTCCTCAGCAACCCCCTCGACGTCGAGATCCTTGTCGAGGGCATCAAGTTCGTGCGGACGCTGATGGGCGCGGACGCGCTCGCCCCGCTGCAGCCCGCCGAGGTCCTGCCGGGCGCCAACGTCACAAGCGACGCCGACCTCTCCAGCTTCGTCCGGCAGTCGGCCAGGACGCTGTACCACCCGGCGGGGAGCTGCAAGCTGGGCGCGCGAGAGGAGGGAGGCGTGGTTGACGGCGAGCTCAAGGTGTACGGCATCGATGGGCTTCGCATCGTGGACGCCAGCGTCATGCCGTTGCTGCCGGCGAGTCACACCATGACCACCGTCTACGCCGTGGCAGAGAAGGTAAGTCATCCGATCCGTACAATTTGTATGAGAAGCACATTTGCACATGATGCTAACGCGGGTTTACTTGTAGGCTGCCCACCTAATTCGTGGACTAGCATAAGAGAGCCCTATATAAACTCGAAATAGCAACATTCGACAATATAACAGTGCATTTTGTGTATTTACTCAAATTAGTTTTTGCATGACTTTGTTTGTACTTTGCTTGTGCTTTATTTACCTTTAAATAGCCAATTCAAGTAGGTCCTGGTACCCAGAGCTCGGCTTCTCGGCTTTATGCTTTCGCCCCACTGATATAACATGTAATAAGCTCGTCGCCACTCAACAACCAAGGTCGGTTAGTGTAGTTGGTTATCACATCGGATTCTGATTTCAGTTCTTCTGGAACATCAAAACTTCCGGTAACCGGGGTTCGAATCCCCGACTGACCTGGTACGCAGCTTTCGAGTTGTGATTTTTTTTCTTTGTTTGCTTTTGCCGTTTCGTTGGCAATGTTTGATTAAGTTCCTTTTCACTATTTCGTTATGCGTGGTGCCTTCCGCGCCCTTTTTTGTATGGCTGCGATATTTTGCTTCGAGCCCTTTGCGATTTACTTTTTATAAAAATCTATCTGTCGTTTCACTGGCGTAGTTTCGTGGGTATTATTAAATGGATTGAGTGCTGTCTCACAATTCCGGCGGGTTGGGACGCTAATATAAAATTTTCTGCACCGGGACCATATGGTGGAGTATGATCATAGCACACAATCAACAACACCCGTAGACGCTAATTGACGACGAATATAATGCCGTCCATGAAATCAAACAGGTAATAAATAATGGACAGACACCTAGGCTACAACAAATGCTTCTTATCCAAAGGCGCGGGGAGAAAAAAAAATTGTTCCATCGCAGGTTGTGTAATGAGCAAAAGAATGATCCGAGGCGGGCTCGATCCGCCGACCTTCAGTGTGTTAGACTGACGTGATAACCAACTACACCATCGGACCCATACTGACTCGATCGTCGCCGACCAAGTTGTTTCTTGGTGAAAGAAAGGTCCTCTAACAGCCAGTATGATAGGAAAACATCTTGAGTCATTTAAATCATAGCCCTCATTGTAGTTGGGATTCGCGGGCAACGGGCGAGTCTGTTTGAGTGTCTTTACAGCATCACTCATTGAGGTACTACCAATCCAATAGCTGTGCCACCCAGGACGATTTGCATGAGTAACGATGTGATATCCTTCTCAAGGCGCCTTTAGCAATCCCTCGTACTCGACAGACCAGCTTCCGTCTTTTGGGAATCCAGGAGTGTCGCCTTCCGATCCCTGCCAGCCTGCTGCCATGTAGGCGACTATGTACAACCATTTCGTCAATACCAAGCATTCTGTACAGACTTTTGGTATGGATTCTTACCGGCATATAGAAACCCAGCGTTTCCGGGCATAAATGGAGGCGGCGTGCCTCCATCTCCTCCGCGGACGGCAAAACCTAGGAAGACGATTAGTATTTAGCAGGGACACTTGGTGCTTTGAATTGGGACGTTACCGGCATCATCAAACTGCCAATAGTCGTAGGCCGTGAGATGGTAAATTGCCCGCTCGGGGTTTCCGATGCGCGCCGAGTTAATGGCGAGCACGGGACGGCCCCAGCCGCGAATGTTGGCGTCGCCCCAGACCTCCCAGACCTTGTCTGCCGTTCTGAGCGCAACCTCTAGGTCGACTGCCGGAGTGTCTGGAAGAATTCCCTGGATCGAGAGATGTTGTCAGTAACAGTAAATTGGTCAAAACTTGGTCATATTAGACAGATGAGATGGCTCGTGGGCGACTTCTTACTTGGAGCATTATCAAAGAGCGCGGATCTCCGTTCAAGGACGTGTCGTTCCACCAGGACGAGTTGAGGCCTTCGTACACTGTGTACAGCCCGTCGACCTGTGGTGGAGGTGCAAGGTTCTCGGCCACAGTTGTCCATGCCTCGGGGACTTCCTGGCCGAGTTTTTCCTTCCAGTCGCGGGCAACATCCAAGCCATAACGCCAGTAGGCGACCTGTGTAGTGTCAGTAATGACACGAGGTTTGTTGAACATCTGAGTTCGACTGACCTCGTAGGCAAGATTGAGTGACTCGGTTGGCGGCGTGTTCTCCGTGACGCCGTACGCACTAATAACGTGAACTGTTAGAAAGATATCCAAATATACGAAATTTGAGATTCGGAAACTTACGGCGGGCCGAGGTCGTAATATCCCGAAGACTCGTTCTTCCAAGCATATGAAGCCATGTAATCGGCCGCAGCTGTGAGGACTTCATCCCAGCGCTCAAGTGTAGCCACGGTAGGCGAGGCCTGGTAAGCCAGGGTCGCGAGGTACATGATGTGAGGCTGCAAGAGATATATGTCAGTTGTGCAAGCGGAGCAGAGACACTTTTGAACATACCTGCTGCCACATGAGCAGCCCGTTGACGCCACCGGGCGCACTCGACCCCGTCACCGTCTGCGTCATCTTGGGCCACCTGGCGCCCGCCCAGCCCATGTCCTCGGCGCGGGCCAGCGACGCCGGCAGCAGCGCCTCGTACACGGCGGGAAAGATGTCGTCAAAGTGCTGCTGCCGGCCCCAGGTCGACCAGTGCGCGTTGTGCCAGACGAACATCTCGCAGTGGAACTTGCCGTACCAGCCGTTGTTCATGAGCCCGCTCTCCTGCGGCGACTGGGCCGTGGGCGCGCTGTTGACCCGGACGTGGTACTGCGACAGCACGATTCTGCGCTGCAGTTCGGTCGCGTTGGGATTGGAGGAGGCTGTCACGTCGACGAAGCCTCCGTTGCTCCAGTAATCGTTCCAGCCAGCAGTATTACTTTCTTCGATTTCCGACGGCAGGCCGGGCACGGCTCTGTCTGGCGAGAAATGAGCTGTAAATGAAATGGAATCACTGGTGGTGTTTGCACTCGTCCCCAAGCCCAGAGTATATCGGTGTGCTGTCGTCGTGTTTAAGCCTTGAATCTCGTCGCGAGAGAGAGCCAAGGAAGAGTTTGAAGGCCAACGGAGATTGAGATAGTAATTGGTCTCCTGCAGCTCATGATATATGTGCGCTACAGCATCTTCTCCGTCGGCACCGGCGATCTCAGTGGTGTGGTTCAGGGGAAAATCGTAAACACCGACAAACACTTCGTACTTGTACGCAGTGCTATGGATGGGCGGATAGGGAAAGTCCAGCTCCACCTCAAGATCGCCGCCCGAGATGAGCGGCGACGATATGTCGAATGCGACGGCGTCTGAATCGAAGTCGCCCCTTGTCACCACTTGAATGTCTGCGCCGCCGACCACAAACGTTGACGTGATTGTGCCAGTCCACAGATCCAGCTCCTGGTGGGGATCGGTGATGTCTGCTGCAGAAAGAGTATTTCCTTTATACTTTAGGCCTATGCGACCAAGATTGATCCTGTTCGGATTGGCGATGAGCCACTGCGAGACGGCTGGAAGATCCGGATCGGGCAGAGCGTAAGAAACATTTCTCCCGTGCGTCAACATGGGCACACCATGGTAGTCGCTCAATTGTTCACTAGTACAGTATAAAGTCAGATCCCGTCAGGATATCTTTGTACGTTCAATAAAGAGATTATACCCGTCTGTCGGCAAGGAATCATTGTGCCATGCCCAGCTGGAAAGTGTGTTGAAGGGCAAGAATGTTTGCATTCCCGTGTTGTCGACGTTGAAGGCAAAGTTGCCGTTGCCGACCTGCAAAGGCGTCGTCTCATTGTCGATGAGACTTGTGCGAATGACGTTGAATCGAGATACTACACTTTGCCTGTCTATCAGGGCAGAGGCGAGCATTGGGAATACCACCACGGAAAGGACCGTTTTGCGGGAGATCACAGACCAGGCCATGCTTGTGCAGCTTCATATACCCGTGATGTCGTTCGTGACCGCAATGAGTATTCAGAAAGCCCATCGCCGTGGACCTATGTACAAGCTTCAATGTTCAACCATTACGCGAACTTCTGGATGGTGTCATGACTAAATTTGGAGAGCGCTGGGGATCAGTCCGGGATAAATGCAACCCGAATGAAGCCTGGTCTCAGTGCATTCTTCGCGTGGTACCGAGGCAAGCATTGATAAATGGTAGTTTCCATTCCGCCAATAGCAACTATTGTCGGCAGCATGGTCGCATATATCGACGCCACGCGAGGGCCGAAGTTTGTGTATAATCGAATCAATCGGCTTGCAGTGGGTATGTCATCTGTCTTTACCTATGCAGTGTAAGCCTAGGACATTTGATCGATAAAAGCCCCAGGTCAAGTCATCTCGGCCTGCTGTATTTGAATGCGCTTGCGTCACAACGAGTTGAGATAATCGATGAAAGGTGGCCTTCGCTCGTCGGTCTTGAGCTGCATTTCTGACTGCTACCTATCAGCTGGGTCCGACCACCGGCTTGTGCGATATCTAAATACACCATTCTCCTTTTTAATGACTTTGTAATATGCTTTGCAAAGATAGCACTATGAAAAAGTTCCAGATAAGCCCTCGGAGTTTTCGAGATTTGTCTAAACAAATACTTTTTCTTATTCAATTGTAAGTTTGCGAAATTGACCAGTGGTGATCTCGTTGCGGCGCTGGGGATGGTCGCTCAGTGAGGTCATGCCGGATATTATAGTGGCCTGAGCCGCTATACGCAAGTAACTTCATGAGTAGCAAGGCGCAGACGACCCTCGTTGACACAACTCATCCACGAAAGCAACACATATGAATTTATACAATGCGATCATTATGGTCGACATGCCGATCTTCTTCCATCTAATCGCAAATAACCAACCCTCTGACTTGAGCTGCGTGTAGTGTGAACGTTGAGCACCATATCGTGATTACAGTCTGCGAAGTTAAGCTCGGAACCATTATAGTGTCACACGAGGCAGCCGCGTAAGGAAAAACCACACCAATGTGATGAAAAAGTTCAAGATAGAATAGACATGCCAAACTCGTCAAACCTCATGACGCAAATGCATCGGCCCGTCGAGTCTCGACAAGTCCACGGCGCCAGAAAATGGCTCGCCGGACAAATCTTGTCCGGGCGTCCAGAGCGGGCAAAGCAAGTCCACTACTGGTGCCCCGGACTTGAACAAGTCCGGCTCCCCCACACAAGACCAGGCGATGGCGAACTACTATGGGCGTATATGAAGATCTGGAGATCTGAGATGAGTTTTGGCAAAACCAGAAAACCAATTTGAGCATTGAGTTGACATAACGAACTTTAAAATCAAAGAAGTTGTATTCACAATTGGATATACCAATCACACTACAGCTTGATCTCTACTCGACCTAATAGTATCACACCATGTCTCCCTCGGCTCTTCCAGCTTCCAAATCTTACAACATCGCCTCTATCCCTGCCGACGGCATCGGCCCGGAGGTGATAGATGCGGCCATTGCAGTCTTGAAGACGCTGTCCGAGACTCTGGGCTCGTTCGACATTGACTTTACCCACTACGACTGGTCTTCGGAAACGTACAAGAAGACGGGCAAGTACATTCCCGATGGCGGTCTCGAGCAATTGAAGAAGCACGACGCCATTCTGTTCGGCGCTGTTGGTGCCCCTGGTAAGTCTCCTGCCACACAACTTCATCAAGAAATACTGATACTCATGCATTCGGCCAGACGTTCCTGATCACATCTCCCTCTGGGGTCTCCGGTTGGCCATCTGCCAGCCGTTCCAGCAGTACGCCAACGTGCGGCCTACCAAGGTATTCCGCGGCACGCAGTCGCCGCTGCGCAACTGCGCGCCGGGCGATCTGGACTGGGTCATCATCCGAGAGAACAGCGAGGGCGAGTACGCCGGGCAGGGTGGACGGTCGCACCGGGGCCAGGCGTGGGAGACGGCGACCGAGGTGTCCATCTTCACGCGGCACGCCGTGGAGCGCATCGTGCGGTTCGCCTTCGAGACGGCGCAGCGGCGGCCGCGCAAACTGCTGACCGTCGTCACCAAGAGCAACGCGCAGCGCAACGGCATGGTGCTCTGGGACGAGG